GAGTCTTAGCATGAATATGTGATTTTTATTTAATTTCTTATGATTGATTGCATGCGTACTTTGAATTGTTAATCACCGGGATAAAAACTATCTAATTGTTTTAATGCCTGATCACCATTAGAATTTTTAGAAAAGTAATTTGATGCAATTTTGGTCGGAAGGTTCCCTAAAATTGACACTGGCTTCTTGTGATTAATAATTGTAATTTCTCTTAGGATGAATATCACGTCTTAAGGATTGCATGGTTTTTCAAGGGATTTTCATAAAGCATAATGAGTCTTTCATGTTTAGATTTGATCCGAACGTCCGGACAGGTTGCATGTTAGATATACGTTCTATGTTGGAGGTTCCAAGTAGAATATGAATTAGGAAAATCTAACCTTCAAAGTGGTATGTGTAGATTATAAGTAATGGGTAAAAATTCATAGGATTGCTAGGTGATGGTGGAACCCTAGTGCTTTCTTAATTTGATTTTCTCATAACTGTTTTCTTCTCTCTAGTCCTAATATTGCAGATTGTTTATTTTAATTCATTAAATTCGTTTTTATTTTAATTAGGTTATAAAATCAATCACTTCAATTTCTACTTTACAATAATTAAATGGAATCTGATTAGTTCGAATTATTTAATAATCCCTGTGGAGATGACCTTCCGAAATCCGTTTATACTACAATAACCTTGTGATTCTTGCAAGTAAAATAGGAGATTTAAGCCCGTTCACATAAGTAGTAAAAATCTCTATTACTAGGTTTATTGCATTCAGAGATGTTGATGCACAAAACCGGAGGGTCTTGGAACAACGTAAATCCGACCGTGAATCTGCAAGAAAGTAAAGAACACAAGATGTATTGTGGTTCACCCTAATGTTTGGGCTACGTCCACACTGATATTGATATTGTTTCACTTTGAATGGTGAATATACAAGAAGGCTAAAGGCAGTGTGCTCTCTAGCTTATTTTCTCTCTTCCTATGGCCTAAGCCTTCTCCGTTAATGAGGAGAGTGAGGAGTCCTTTTATAGAATAAGGGCTCCTCACTTATTACATATTTGTCCTTTCATTTATTACATAATTACATTTGAGTCCCCCGAATATTTATACGAGATCTAAATACGGATGCCCTAAGTATGATACAAATAGTAGTCCCCCAAGTCTTCAGCCAAGAGAGTCTTTTCGCTGGAGACTTGAAATTCAGTCCATGTGTGAGCCGAAGTAACTAGATGTCGTCTTGAACTGAATACTCGATATGAGGCGATGCTCAATGTGAAATGATGCTCAACTAGAAGTATCACATGTTGCGAGGTTGCTCGGCTTATGGCTTATGTTGCCTTGGTTGGCTCAGCTTGTGGCGTTGAAGGTGAAGGAGTCCCTTTTATAGAATAAGGGCTTGCTCCTCAATACATAAATAATGGGCTAAGTCCCCCAAGTATTTTTCATGAGGCCCAGTTGCGGAAGCCCAATATATGGTACATAGTGTAGTCCCCCAAGTCTTCAGTCAATAGAGTCTGTTGGTTAGAGACTTCAAATTCAATCCATGTATGGGCCGAAGTGACGGTTGTTCGGAGGCGGTCTTTGTATACCCTGCACTGAAGCATTGTAGGTGAGGCTTTGCAAGTGAAGTTTTACAGTTGAGGCTTTGAAAGTGAAGCTTTGAAGCTGGAGCTCTGTAAATGAAGTTTTTGAAGCTAATAGACATGAGTGATGCTCATGAATGTTTATGTTGATTGACATGAGTGATGCTCATGAATGTTGACATGAGTGATGCTCATGAATGTTGACATGAATGATGGTCATGAATGTTTATGTATGATTGACATGAGTGATGCTCATGAATGTTTATGTATGATTGACATGAGTGATGCTCATGTATAATTTTTGGAGTACTGGACGTACTTTTGATCACCTAGTGGGTGATAATAGCGGCACGCTGCCGAATAATTTTGGAATACTGGACGTACTTTTGATCACCTGGTTGGTGATAATAGCGGCAGGCTGCCGAATAATTTTTGGAGTACTAGACGTACTTTTGATCACCTGGTCGGTGAAAATAACGGCAGGCTGTCGAATAATTTTGGAGTACTAGACGTATTTTTGATCACCTAGTTGATGATAAGGGCATATGGGCCTTCACCATCCACATAACATTCTAGCCTATTATTTTGGGCTTGCCGACATTTTGCCTTTTTTTTTTTTTGGCATGCTATGTTCCCGTGGCTTTTTCAGAAAAGTAGGAACATGCATGATGAAAGTTTTTTTTATTTTCAAAAGTTGGTGGCATTTTCTGATCCAACAGAAAGTGGAGTGGGGAACCTTGGTGCGGTGTAGTAGGAACTTTGCACCAGTTCTTATCTGATTCATGAGTGCTTCAAGACTTGAGCCAAAGTGAAAACCTTTCTGACACCACCCATTTGCTTTTCTTGATCTCCCCGCTCATTCTCTGCCCACCCATGCTGCTTTACAAGGTCGAATTGTTGTTTACCTGCTTCACTCAACGTAGCTCCGAAGTGCCTCTCTAGTAAAGTGTATAATAAAGGCAAAATCTCATGTAAAGATTGGGTCAGCCCCCGCAGCAATAGCCTTCTCTGATCTCATTCCAAATCTTCATTGTGAACAGTAATATCTTCAGGAAGCCACCTTAGCGTCATGGAGACTAACTCAGCTTGAATAGGACCCTTGTAGGATAATGAAGCTAGAGTTAGAAACATTTCTTGCCATAGATTTAGTCCTTCCCTTTTAGCTATCTCGTCAACAAGGGCTTTGTCCTTGACCACGAACCGACGTCCACGATTGACTGGCCTAGCCTCCGGAACCTCGTCAAGCTTCCTCGTGTTCAAAGTAGTGCTGCTGGAGTGAAACTAATATGGGCTGTTAGACGTTTTCTCATTGAAGGCTCCACTGAATGGAAGAAGTGAATCTTTAATCCTCTCTAGGACATCTGAAGTGTCAACATCTTGTTGGGGCAGCTGCTTCTGATGAAGAACATGAAACAGCTATGAAGACTGCAATGTAAACAAGAAGCAGCCCAGAAGATCTTACAGCCCACGTTCTGCCCCGATCTCAGCGACTGCAACATTACGACCATCCATAGAAACCCGTCCTCGATCGGGAGCAACCACGTGTCGGGTATGCAGAAGAAAAGTCACCGACGGAGCAAGAGATTCTTCATCACGGGGTGGTGCAAATAATAGTTGTAGTTGTGGTGGAGGACGTAGTGCTTTTTGTGGTGGAGCTCCATGATCTCGCCGCTGATTGCAAGCTCCAGAGCGCCATAGTCGTAGGGAAGGTTGGGCAGCAAGAAGGTCTGCAGGCCGCAAGAATGGGCAAGGGTTCTGGGCTCGCTCTAGAACCCTGATCGGAGGGCTTTCCTGGCCATGAGAGCTCGGAGAGCCATGGGAATGTTGCTTGCGATGAACTGAGAGGAAAGAGAGTTTGAGGAAGGTTTTCTGGAAAAAACCCGAAAGTAGGTTTTGGGCTCTTTGTCTCTGTCTTTAAATTGGGCAGTTTTTTTTTAGGAGAAAAATGGGGCGGAAGATTCGAGAGAAAGAAAAATGGGTTTTTAGAGGGTTTTTAAGCTGCACAGAGTCTGCGAAGGTTTTCTGGAAAAGTCCAAAGAGGGAGGTTCTGGGTTATTCGGTTGTGCAGATTCACGGTGGAGGTAAAAAAAATGAAAGAGAACCGACACAACTTTTCATATCGTTTCCCACAGACGGCGCCAAATGTTGATGCACAAAACCGGAGGGTCTTGGAACAACGTAAATCTGACCGTGAATCTGCAAGAAAGTAAAGAACACAAGATGTATCGTGGTTCACCCCAATGTTTAGGCTACGTCTATACTGATGTTGATATTGTTTCACTTTGAATGGTGAATATACAAGAAGGCTAGAGGCAGTGTGCTCTCTAGCCTATTTTCTCTCTTCCTATGGCCTAAGCCTTCTCCCTTAATGAGAAGAGTGAGGAGTCCTTTTATAGAATAAGGGCTCCTCACTTATTACATATTTGCCCCTTCATTTATTACATAATTACATTTGAGTCCCCCGAGTATTTATACGAGATCTAAATACGGATGCCCTAAGTATGGTACAAACAAGAGATTCAATTTTTGTAATTGATTGGTATGATATATATATATATATATATATATATATATATATATATATATATATGTTTTAGATTCAGTTTGATGCTTTGAGAATCTTTGTGCTTTGACTTGAGCAGTTGGTTGAATTCATATATTGGTAATTCATTATATTGGAATGAATTACTAGTTGATAGTTTTACTATCTGTTAGACTTAATTGTTTCGAATTAAGTTGACGAATAGTGGGAGTGGATATTTAGGTCCACTGATGTCAGTTGGATCATAATGTTATAAGTGCATATTGAACATAAGTAATCTGAGGGCATCAGTTACATGTTGGTTGTGAGTGTAAGCTTTTGATTCTATGTTTTGATATGTACAAATAGATTGTTTATGATGTTACTCAAAAGGCTTGGTGATTATTCTATGGTAAATCTTGATAGAACTAGTTTACTTGGTTCATACTTGCTCAAGTGGGAGAATATAAGAATATGAGTATAAGTATGAATCTATGAACTTAGTTATTGGTCTTGAGATTGAATGGGAAGTCTTATTGGGAATGGATTTTGTAATCCATATTACACTGGACTACTATTTAAGGGATTAGTTTCCTATAAGGATTCTAATAGGGGAATCCTTATGGGATTTGGCAAGAATTATGTTGTGTATATATATAGTGGCCTCTACTTCCACAGTTGATATGCTCGATTCCGGACTAAGACCTATTATTAGTTAAGAGTAAAACCAATTACTGAGGAGATGAGAAGGTGCACTGCAACCTTACAGCGAAACTTGGACATGGCTGCTTCTTCGAGTTCATCTGCAGATATGATCTTCTCCGTACACTAGTTTAATGAACATCTGTTTGTGTTTTGATCACAGTAATTCATATTACTTGTGTTCTTGGTTTGTGTTTCATCTAACACACCACAGACAAAGATATTGCAGAATTCTAGCGTCGGTGGATTTCTGAGCCATTGTGGATGGAGCTCTGTGCTGGAGAGCATGAAGTTTGGTGTTCCAATTATAGCCATGCCTATGGATCTTGACCAGCCATATAACGCCAGACTAGTAGAGGAGTTGGGTGTTGGTGTGGAGGTCAAGAAAACAGGAAGAGGAGGAGGTTTGCAACGAGAAGAGGTAGCAAAGGTGATCAAAGATGTGATGGAAAACAATACTGGGTAGGTTGTGAGAAGAAAGGCAATGGAACTGAGAGACGACATCGAAAAAAGAGATGATCGAGAGATAGAGGGGCTGGTGGATGAGTTGGTGCAACTTTGAATTCGTACGGGGAAAGAATCAATTTAAGCATGCAAAATTAGCTAGCAGTAATATCCGGATGGTGTATCGGATACACTCAATAATAATAAATCCTTGTATTGTAATAACTAATAACACTGCTGCTAAATGCAATCCTTTTAAGTCCTAAAATTTAAGTGATTTTTGAGGATTTTACTTTCATCTTTACTAAAGAATGATTATAAAAATATTTTCACCAAAAGCGATTTCAATAATTTTAAAAGTACATCCAAACGAGTTCTAAAACATTTGGTATTACTGTTGTTCTCCTAAAAGATTGTGCTATCCTTCTTGACTCAATAAAACAGCTATCATTTCATTTTAAAAAATGGTATATTTTGTTCACAGAATTTCAATAAACATTGTTTCGCAGAATTTCAATAAAACTGCTAACTACCCCCGTAACCTGCTCACTGTTCTAAAAATCCCCGCCTAACGCCGCCTAGGCCCCAGCCCACCGCCTAGACCACCTAAGCACCCGCCTAGACCCGCCTAGATTGCAACTCACTTAGACAGAAAATACATAACTTTCATTTTGCATTTTGTTTTTTTCCAATAAATTGTAAGAGACTTGTTGCATACTTGAATGAACAAACATTATATCCTTATTTCACATGTTTTCATTATGTTCCAATACTTCATGATATATATGCATTCTATTTTGTAGTTTATGATGAAATTATATATATTTCAAGTAGAAGCAGACACTTATTTACCTGAAATATGATAGATTTACTTAAATCCGCCTAGTCCGCCTAGGCTCCCGCCTAGGCCCCGCCTAGCCGCCTAGGCGCTAGGCCCCAGCCCGCCGCCCGACTAGTGCCTAGCGACTTTTAGAACCTTGAACCTGCTATCTTTGAAGAAAAAAAATAAGAAACACTAATAACCTTAATAATTAGAGTATGCATGTGCAGATTAAGATTTGGATAGTTTGATTCAGTACTCTTCCTCGTGCATGCTTGGCAGTGTGAAGCAAAGAAGAACACTCAATCAGTCTTCTTTTTCATGTGCGCACACACACATGAAATGTAACCTTGGACGTTATAATATGTCTAGTTTATTGTGCGACTTAATTCAAATGGTAAAAGTCGGATTATAAGGTTTTTTTCAAATTAAAAAGAAAATTAGAAGTCTCGGGTTCGAAATTCGTTGCTAATGTGGAAGCCAGACTTGTGGCTAGGGTAGGCTGAAATGTCATTGTGAGTCTTCCCGACTCTTAAATGATGGATAACCGTGTCTTACCACCAGTTGTTCCTTAAAAAAAAAAATAGTAGTTTTGTCGTCAGTATACGCGTGGCCGGGTTTCATTAATATTTCTCTTGAATGCCTACTAAACTGTAGGGTGAAATTGAAACATTCCTACAATCGTGTATTTGAATAACTTCCATTTTTTAATTCTTTGCGTTCATTACAATATGAGTACTGGTTTCATTCTAAGGAAAACTAATGAAAATGACTTAAAAACTTTGAGTTTTAATGATAAGGACAAAATAAAGGGTAAAGTGAATAGTACCAGGTTTGACTTTTTAGTGAAAAAATATGGTTTTTCGTTAAAGTGAACAGTACCGTGGGCTTTTCGTTAAAACTCCCTTTATTCTAAGGATTTGCATCCTCTCTTGAGCTCAAGGAGAGGATCCTCCTAACCAAGAACTGTGGATCGTTGGATTTTCATCTAACGGTTATAATTATTATAACTTTAAAAGAATCCTCCTGTTTGTAGCCGTTGGATTTTCATCAAACGGTCCACAGTCCTTGGTCAGGAGGATCCTCTCCTTGGGCTCAGGAGAGGATCCAAATCCTTATTCTAATTCATGGATTTATTGTGCTTACTGACACATAAAGAATAGGGTAAATTACACTTTCATACCTCAAGTTTGGGGTCTATTTCAATTTCTTACAACATCTTTAAAACATTTCACTTTCATACCTTAAATACTATTTTATTTCAAAATAATACATGAATTACATTTTCCATCAATTGATCTGTTAAATGATGATGAGGCTGCCACATATATGGCTGCCAAATGTCTGCCACGTGACAAAAAAAATACTTTTTAATTTTTTTTTTAAAAACCTGAATTTTCTCAAATAAAAAAAAAACCACATCTACAAGAAGAAGAAGAAGAGGGAGGAAGAAAGAAAAAGAAAAAGAAAAAATTGTCCCTCAAAAGAAAAAATTGTCCCCCCCCCCCCCAAAAAAAAAAAAAAACGACCCAGAAGAAGAAGAAGAGGGAGGAATAAAAGAAAAAAGAAAAAAAATATGTCCCTCCCCCCCTCACCCCCCCCCTAAACACCAGTGACCTAGAAGAAGAAAAGAAGATGGAGGAAGAAAGAAAAATAAATAAATAAATTGTCCCTCCCCCCTCCCCCAACAACCCAGAAGAATGAGGAGGAAGAAAGAAAAAAAATATTGTCCCTCCCCCCAGCGACCCAGAAGAAGAAGAAGAAGAACCTAGAACCCCACTTCCTCCCCCCCATCCCCCCCGGGGCCCTCCGCCCACCCCGACCCAGCTTCTTCTTCTTCTTCTTCTTCTTCTTCTTCTTGTAGATGTGGGTTTCAATTTTTATTTTTGAAAAAATTCAGGTTTTTTTTTTTATAAATTAAAAAATTATTTTATTTACCACGTGGCAGACATTTGGCAGTCAAGTCAGCATTTAACAGATCAATGGATGGAAAATGTAAGACCATCTCCAATGGCGACCTAAAACCTAAAAATATTTAGCCCATAAAATTTAGGTTTTAGCCCAGAAATAGTTTTTCTACTCTAACCCTTTTGGCCTAAAATTTTAGCTCGAGATTATCAAAAAATGAATTAAGGCTATTTTTTTTTAAAATAACTTTAAAAAAAAAATTATGTAAACTATCCTAAATTAATTTTATGAACATTTTACCCTAAAAATATTTAAATTCCGATAAATTTTGAAAAATCACTAAATCAATACATGAAAATCATGATAACCACATAAACTTAATATTTTTTGGTTGAATTTTAAGTTAAATATTTTTTTAAAATTATTTTAGCCGTTGGATTTAAATTTGGACCGTTAGATCTTTTTTTTACCGTTAGATTTGATTATATTCAATATAAGCCGTTGGATTCAATAAATATATAAATATAAAATTAAAAAAAAACATTTGAATGTGGACCGTTGGATTAACCAACGGTCAAATTACCACAGTCGTGCGATGGAGAAAAGTAGCCGTTGGCTACAGACATATTCTGACACGCCGGGGGACACACCCACGTGGGTGGGGTCCACCTCGGCTGAATGACTTGCGCGTCTGCGCGTTGAGGAAGTGTGTCTGGGCGTTTGGGCTTTACAACATAGTTTTCAGTCTCGTCCATGGGTCCCACTTCAATTTGTGGGCTAAATTTGTGACCGGTATTTGCCTTTATTTTAAGTTTTAGGTTTTAGGTTTGGTTTAGGTTTTGGGTTGGAGTGGATTTGGAGGGGGAAAAAGGGGAAATTTAGGTTATAAGCCACCATTGGAGATGGTCTAACAGAGGTATTATTTTGAAATAAAATAGTACTTAAGGTATGAAAGTGGAATGTTTTAAAGATGTTATAAGAAATTGAAATATATCCCAAACCTGAGGTATGAAAATGTAATTTACCCTAAAGAATAAGAGTGTAGATTTCACATTAAAATCTGTCACAGCCCGTCCCGGAATTTTAATTCCGATGACGTGAAATTACGGAAACGCCCTTAAACGGGATTAAGGTACGTAATTTTGGTGTTTGTTTTACCTAAAAACTTCCTAAACTAGGGTTAGAATTATATTAGTATGTGTTAATTTAATTTGTGTTTGGACTTAGGGTGGGGTCCTACCCCCTAAATCCCTCCCCAAAACCCGTTTTTGTTGTCTCTCATCTCCCTAGTCACTCTCTCTCTCTTTCTTCATTTCAGAAACACTCCCTCTCTCTTACTCTCATTCTCTCTCTTACCCTCGTATACACTGCAAGAACCAAGAACAATCACAAACGTGCACCAACGTCCAATCTAAGATCATCTTCGTGATCTTGGGAACTTCACGAGCACGGGGGTATAAGTTTAAGGTAAGTTCCATTTCGAGAAACCTAGTTCTAAAGTCCCCGTGTAATGACACTGTTCATAAACTTTAATATGGCCGTGTTTTAGGTTAAACAAAGCTCACAGTGAGCTTAAGGAGGTCACAAGGAGGCTCGGAGTGCCTCGTTTGAACAAAATGGACGTCGAGATCGTCGGGTTCGAGTTTGGCCGAATTTGAGGAATTTTGGAAGGTATGATCTTGTTGTTTAGTGTTTAAAAACCTTCCAACGTGTTAGTACATGTGAAATGCTTCATTTTGGTATAAATTACATGAAAAATGGTTGAAAAACGAAGGAGAATAGTCAATTTGAAATTTTTCCAGAAACCGGCGAACAGTCGCCGGCGACCGGCGACTCGCCGGAGAAGACAGGGAATCTTCCGTCAAGTTTGACGGAATATTCTGACGCCGTTAGTTAACTTTAACGGAAACCGTTAGTTTTTAACGGAATATTCCGAGAATATTCCTAACGCCGTTCACTGTGCCGTCAGTGTGCACGGCACGTGGCTGCGCGTGGGGGGCGCGTAGGTCCGTGCCACGTCAGGCGCGTGGGGGCGCGTGAGACCTCCAAAAATTATTTTAAAAATATGGGGATGATCCTGAGGTTGTGTAGGTCACAGTGGTATATTCATATACCTAATTTGAGCAATATTTGAGGAGTTATTAGCTAAGAATTGGGTTAGGCGTTAAATAACGTCAAATTGGTTACTTCTGTATAGGCGAGGATTATACGGACGTTGGGCATGGCTAAGGGAGGCTCAGGGACCTTCGACACGTCGATGTATTCTGTGAGTGGGCAGTTTTGTTTTCCGTATA